GGAGAGTTTGAACGGCCAGCAACGAGGTCCAAGGAAGAACACGGAAGAAAAGAAATTTCCCGGTTCCCGCCAAGCCAAGACCAGCTGCCATCAAACGGCAAAGACCACAAGCAGAGGAGAAAAGGAAAGTATTCAAGGGTGGCCGTACTGGTGAAAAAAGGAAGCTTCCAGAGGAAAGCACTGAAGGGTGAGCCCGTACAAGAAGGAGGATAAATCAAGCTACTATCTGCAGTACCTTTAAAGACTGGGCCCAGAAAAGGATGTCCGAATATTACAAAGATAAGTAAAATTTTATGTTACTTTGCAAACTTAAGTTAATCTTTCATTCTTACTGCAAGTAGCAGATTTCAAGAAGTTTTACCTCATGCGAGGTCTACCTTTATCGCGAAAAGGGCGAGAAATGAGTTGTGACCGATTTTCGTATTATGTTTTTCAATTACTCTTGCGTAAAACTAAAGTTGATGTATAATAGCGTTGTGTAAAAACTTAAATATTGAAAAAAAAGTTATTGTATAAATTTTATTTAAAACATTCTAGCAAGAGAGAAGTTTAGTCTGAAAGACTTTTTGAAATGTATTATTTCAATGTAGAAAGAATTGGCACTTGCTTTGAAAAGAATAGAAGTTAACAATGTACTACTAATGTATGTTTTTAAATCTGTAAAAATTAACGGCATCATTGTTGATATGTTTGTTATTTTAAATGTTAAGAAATACCGTGATATGGTAAAAGTGAAAGTAATGTTAAAAATTTGTTATTCGTGTGACTGTAAAGACTAAATCATGGCGAATATGTGTTAAAGGTTGAATGATGTAGTTAGGCTCTCTGACGCTACACTTTAGAGTTAGCCACTTTTAGAATAGTACCTCAGGGTTTAGAGTTGAAATTAGGGTGTGTTAAGAGGTCTCGTTATGTTGAATTTTAACACGTTAGTGTTTTGATTGTAGGAGGAAGTATGGCACACGTAGACAGAAACACATTCGTGTTTGGTGTTCTTTTACAACACATGTCAGAGAGCACGGGGAGAGATAATTAAAATAGTCATGAATGAAATAAGAATGTTAAGAGCAGTATAATTGTATATGTTACTTGCCATGTCATTGTGTAACATTTCATTAAACTAGTTTTCCTTCCAGATCTCTGGAAGGAACCAGAACTGAATAAAAGCTCCTGTGTAGATGCAGTACAGATGAAAAAAAAAAAAAAAATTTGTATATCCTGGGAGCTGCTATTGTAACAAATTTCTTTCTTTTAAATTTCGTTTCTAGCGAAAAGTGTTTGTAAAAGGTTGGCCTCGCGTTAGATTCTAGAGCTAAAAGTTTTCAACAAGGTCGTTTTAGACCTCAGTTTCAAACTAATTAACTCTGGCGGGAAGTATGTAAGGATCTTAAGTTTTACTAACGTTTATTTTATTTTAAATCTTTACTATCACTTCTTATTTTCTACTTCCGGCCGAATTATAAGCGTTAAGGATTTTATGCAAAGTTTGTCTGGCCAACGCCAAGTATTTAAGTGTGGCCTTTTTGCCAAGCGAAGGAGAGGAAGCAGTGAGTCAACGCAGGCCGCTTACCTTAGAAGTTACGCAGTTGCTGTTTGCCTTCCAGGCCAGAGGTTTTAATCCTCTTGATAAATTAAAGCGTATTGTAGTGTTCACAGTCTCTGTGCTACATACGCTTCCTGTTATTATAAGGCCAATCTTCCACGTGTATTATTCTAAAGTTAAATTAGAGTTTAGTTTTATTTTTATACTTTTACGTTAGACCCCGAGTGGCGCGGGTCATTGTATTCCGAAGTACGGAAGTTATTGTATATAGAGAAAAATAAAGGGTTTTGTATACCCTTCGTCTGTATCCTGTCTACTTACCACAATTAGTGAACATAGCTTTAGTAAGCTCTCTGTTCCGAGTCAGGTCCTTGTATGTTCCCGGAGAAGGTTAGAAGGAACATAGAACCTGATAACCTGCATGCAATAATCATGGAGTTATCAACAATTTAAAAGTTTTTTAAGTGCGGCTAAGCCTAATTTCTGATTCTCATGGCAGCCATGTTTGTTTGAAACTTAGTGGATTTGTTGCCAATCTAGAGAAACTAATCGTCGCAACAACAAAGTAATGTCTTCTTTTATTATTGTGAATTAAGTTATGCGTAATTCATTCTAGAATTAACATTTAAGTTTTTAGCTTCTTTTGGCGTAGAAACTGTAATTTTAATTGTAAAAATCGTTTTTTTTAATTGTTTTAACTGCATTTGGTGTTTTATGTTTTTTGGTAGTGCATGCGCATTAGGTAAGCGGTGCTGAATCCTCTGCAAAAAACTTTCTTTTTTATTTAATATCGTTTTAGATTTATTATAGTATTTGAATAGAACTTGTGGTAATTCTTCAGATGGTATAATTTTTGTGCACAATGAAATTAATGCTGCTAAGTAAACGTAGCGGCGAAATGTCGCTATGGTAAATATAGTGAACTTCAAAGAGTGAATTTATTCTATTGTGGTGTATGCACTATTTGATGAAGTAGATTTAATTCAAAATTTTTTAACTGCTAATTCAATATGTTTAAATGAAATGCAGGAAAACTGCATATAATTTAATGTTCTGTACAAGGAAATCATGTGGTGTACTCATCAGATTTTTTACTTCCTTGTACAAAGTAAAAAGAAAGTATTGTAATTGCAAAAAATTTCAGTTATCATATTATTTGAACGAAAATATCCATTTTGACCGCTATCGAATGCAATTTAAGGCTGTTTTTATATGACATCTGTGCGAAAAGACGCAATAAAAGACTCATCCCCCCAAAAAAAATATAAAACTGATTTAAAATGAATTATGAAGAGAATATTTTGTGGTGTCTGTGTGTACATATGTTGCATAACTCAAAAATGAGTAGCTCAAATTGAGTAGCTAGCTTTGAAATTTTATATTGTGCATTGTTTGCTTTAAAAATTATTGAATTATGTTGTTCTTATCTTCCGGGTAAGGTTTTTATGCCTTTAGTAAATCTGCATGCAATATTTGTAGAATTATCAACAATTTAAAGTTGCTTAAGTGTGGCTAAGCATAAATATTTTTGTCCTGACAGCCATGTTTGTTTACATTTGAAACTTAGCAGAATAGTGGATTTGTTGCCATCCAGAGAAAGCTTTGCTACAACAAAGACACCTCTTTCTTTTATTATTTCGAATTAAATAATGTTTAAAACATTTTGGAATTTATTCGAGGAAATAAGTGTTTAAGATTTACTTTGTAATTTTTAATATAGATATTTTACGTTTTTATGTATTTTTGCCTTGTCGGGAAGTGAAAACTGAATTAATTGAATGAGAAATGCTGAATCCTCTGCAAAAAGCTGTTAAAAATTGTTTTATTATTATTATTATTAATTTAATTAATTTTTTCATTATTTATTTTATTTATTTATTTATTCCCCCTTTTTTGTTGTTGTTTGCTTAATTTCTTTCATACCTAGTTTTAAATTTATTATAGTATTTGAACAGAACATATGCAACGATTAGATAATTCTTCAAATTATATAAATTTTGTCATTCTGAGTTACAAAATGAATGAAATGTAACACTGTTATGTGAACTTAGCTCCAGAGTGCCATTATGGTAAACAAATGCAGTGAATTTTAAAGAGTGCTTTTATTCTATTGTGGTTCTTATGTGGTTATGACGAAGTAGATTTAATTCAATCCAATAAGTTTAAAATGAAATGCAAGAAAAAAGCATGTATAATTTAATATTCCGTACGAAGAAGTCATGTGGTGTACACATCAGATTTTTTTCTTTTGTATTTTTATGTTAATGATGTTATGTATCTTTTCTTGTAAATTTATAAAATTATAGTTTCCAAGAAAGTTGTTATTTCATGTATTTAAAGATAATTTGGGGTGAGAGTAAATTAATGATTCAACACATAAAAGAATGTAAATAAGTAAGAGCTTAAGCTTTTTGATTATCTGGCAAATTCATTAAAATTTGTGCCTGTAATTTCGGCAATTAAAAAACTTTAAAGTACTGTAAAATAATCATTTTCTTTGTAAATTTGATGCTACATAAGTCTGAAATTGAATCTAAGTGAATCTAAATTGTATCGTGCTTTCCTTTACTGCACCATTTTGTCAAGTCAGAGTCTTTCAATGGTTTGAGTATGATGGCAGAATCCGTTTACTGTGAAAATACTTCACTGCTTACTGTTCTGTAGAAGGCATGTTCCAAATTTGAGTCACTTTCTCTAAATGCAAGGAAAAAATTGGAGAAATAGCAGCTAATTCACATCCTTCTTTTCAAAAACAAAACTAGCTTATCAGCAGATACAAACTTTCTCTCTCTCTCTCTGTATGTATGCATATGCAGCATCTTTGCAGAACCAGAAAAGTGAAATGTAATGAAAAATGTTGATTTATATACCTAATACAATGTTAATGTTCATTGCTGCATTAGAATAGCATTAATCTAATTAATCTTAGCATCGATACATGCGTGTTGACGTCATTCTGACACCACTGGCTCTCCTCGAATTTGCCATATTTCCTTATTCCAGGTGTCATTGCAACAGCCTGTGGATGTGTCCAGGTTGAGTCAGCTGAGATTTGCCATATGGATCAATTTGCCCTTCTCAGTCCGATCACCCCACCTCATAAAATGAGCTGTCTGCTGGAGCTGCCTCCGTTAATTATGGCCTGGCATTTTATGCTATTACACGCATTCTTTGATGCAAGAATACATTTTGTATAATGATTTCCCTAGCAGAAATAACAACACGAAAATTGAATATTTTGCGTTCCCTTATATCTTCATCAATGCGTGCTGGAGAGCTGTTGCATTTCACATCATTCTCATAACTCGGTGACATTGTCTATCCTGAAATTTGCATAATTTTCAGGCCACTCCTTCTTGATGTTGCATTTTCAATGTCATGTAGTGTATTTTGTTAATTTAGTAAATTACCTTTCCATATAAGTAAGTTATGCATAACGCATGTGATTGTTTTTTAGTTGAACGAACTGAGAAATGCTCAAAAAGCGAAAGATGAATTAGAGGATCCAAAGAACAAAGCCATAGAATACTTAAAATTAGAAAACAAGCTATATTTATTAGAACATTCACTTCTGCATCTTAATCGGTAAGTTTTGATATTTGTAGTTTTACTTTATGAAATTTTTATTTTACTAGTGATGAACATAAATCTTAAAGTTCATTTTCAAATGTTTTAACTATAGTGTCGCTTTATATATTGAAAAAGGCTTATAAAATTTTAATGCTGAAAATTTAATATTAAAATACTGAAATATGCACATTTAATCAGTATATTGGATAGGATTAGTTGTTCATCCTATTAGTGTGTATTCTCCTTAATCCCCGAAAATCACAATAATCCTTTTTCAAATATTTCATTTGATGGTTTCTGTCAGTAAATGTTTTTGGATATCCTACAACAAGTTGCTAGGATTAATAGCCTTTATAATGATCTCATAGAATAAACCTCAAAAGGATCTATTGATGAGATATCTATATCGATGGGACATCATATAGAGTTCTGAATGAAAATGCAGGAAATTCAAAAGTTCATGCAATATCCCATTAATATCCAAAACATTTTCAAGGCAAGGTATTTCAGTGCTTCCTATTCAAAGTTTTTCTGGAGTTTTAGCTTAACGTTTTTAGTTCTGTATGATTTCCCATTGATACCCAAAATTTTTTATAGCACAAAATCTGTAAGGATTATACTTCATCATACATGTGATCGCTATTTGCTATTTTTCTTTAATCCGTAGTGTTTTTAGGGAGGTTCAGTGTGGCTACTACACCACTGCAACATTAATCTCTACAAATTCTTCTGGTGAGAATACCAGCAAATACAAACAACCATGGTGATTTTCTTTTGGGGTTTGACTATAGCAGCATTTATAAAGCTATAGTGTGTTTGTTTACAAGTCATCTTTGAAGTCTGCCGTTGTTATCATACTAGATTTTAAAAAATATCACATTATTTGCAAACAAAATTAATAAGATTGTACGTAATTATTTGCTGATGACACGTGGCTAAGTATACTGGCATGTTTTTCATATGTATTCTCAAAACTATTTTAGTGTTCTTTAGTGCGCATGAGAAATTAAAGGGGTTTGCGAGGAAAAGCATAATAGTCGTACCTTCCAGCTGCTGTTTATTAGCTAGGCTAGGAATGATGCAGTTTTGTAGCATATCGGTGTACCTTGCTTTACTGAATTCAATGGTTATTGCCATCATAAGGTAACTGGTGTAGCAAGGTGCTGAACCTTTTGCTGCTAACATGTCTGTGTAGTTCTAAGAGGTATCTGTGCCTAATTATATCTCAAAGAAGAGTTTCAAAAAGAATTTTCATTAATTTATGAAACACTTCTTGCTGTTCTAAATCAAATTTGAATTACTTTCTCTTCCTAAGTAAGTCATTAAGGCATCCTGCTTATTATGGGATAAATTTATGGGAATATTCTGTAAGACCTAAGAAACTATGACTCTTTGCGATTCTTTGGCTGTGGAAAGTTTTGAACAACTGCAGTTTTTAAAGGAGATGGTTGAAAAGTTCCATTTTCTATAATGTATCCTAAAAATTCAATTTTTATTTCAAGAATGGACATTTTTAGAAGTTTATTTGCAATCTGTATTCTGAGGCTGTTTTTTTAGAACTCTGCAACTTCTGTATACATTCATCTTCATCTTTCATGCATATAATTAAATAGTCTGTAGTCAATAATTAATGAATCATCATTCACTATGTAACTTCTTGTTTAGTTTTTTCCACTTAATAACTTCTATACTTTCAAAGTAGACTCAACTAATGAGTATTATGGTTAAATTCAAAAAAAATTTTTTTCAAACACAGTTCACCTGACATTGAGCTAGCACAAAAACACGTGCATTACTACAATAGAATAACATAGCATGAACGCCGTTACAGTTACAGTTATTTTAAATATACATCACATACCTTCCTCCAGTTTATAAACAGTAATAAAAATGACAAATATCATCAATAAAAGTACATTCACAATATGCCATACAATAAACAAAGTTACATAAAAATGATATAGGCAATATGTTACATTATTTTATTCTATGACAAAGCCTCTATACCTTGAAGGTTGTCTAATCAACCGTCCACTTCTTGTTACTGTATTATTGGACAAATTATTTGGTTGATTTCTATATTAATAGTAGGGCTGTGGAGTCGGTAGGAAAAATGACCGACTCCGAGTTCTGGAATTTTAATGACTCTGACTCCAACTTCGACTCCTATTCCTTGATATATATGTAAACATATAAACATGGGTACAGCTTATTTTTTTAATATAAAAGAAATAGTAGATACTACAGATAAAAATTGATGCATAGCAAATTTTTTATATTAATTAGCATTTATTATGAAATGGAAAAACTGGAATTAGTAATTTCTAAGAAACAGTAAAACTTCTGCAAGATCTTCTTTGTTAGAGGAATATAGATCCGATTTGATAAACATCAGAATTGAGAAGAGTCTTTACACACTGACTTGAGTAGAAGGGCTGTTACTGTTATGGCTACTTCCTTTAACTTTTCAGGATAGACTTTTGTAAGTTCTAAAAGAGATGTCTTGCAAGAGCAATCATATTTATCTATCTCTTCGAAGGCCATGTATAAATCTTGTTTATATTTTTTCATTTTTATATCTAAAGGCTCCTGGTTCTTTATTTTTATTCGCTTTGCCTTTTCAATATTATCCAAATATTTTTCTAAAAATCTAATTCATCAGTAGAAGAGGATGAGACTCAGTTGCAATATCTGCAGTTTGACTATCCTGATTTGAATACTCTAGTTGTTCTGAGAATAATTTCATTCTTAATGAAAGTTCATGGATGCTTTCTTTGCCTTTTTAATTTGTTTGTCATCCAACAAAATTCGGCGTTTTGGATCTACATGTATTGAACCCAGCATGATCTTTTTGTCTAGCAAATTAGTTTCTCTTTTCTGCATTGAAGAAATGATTCCTTCTGCAATAAATCTTCCATTTTAGAAAGAACAAACATCACATTCTTTCAGTCTTGCGTCTTGTTAATTCTTCAGATTGTAGCTTTCTGGTGGCTATATACAGTATAGAAAGAAGAGTTTCCAATTCTGCAAGATCATTCTACAGTCTTTCTGTTACTGAAACATTAGGGTTATCTACATCTTCTAACATTCCCATCTCCTGTTAATTCTTCAGATTGTAGCTTTTTTGTGGCTATATATGGTATTGAAAGAAGGATTTCAAATTCTGCAAGATCATTCCACAGTGTTTCTGTTAGCGAAATATTAGGGTTATTTACATCTTCTGAAAAAATTCTTAATCCTAACAACCACTATATCATCAAATATGTACTTCTCCATTGCGTTGCTCCTTTTCCTGCTTGCTTTCTATGAATGGCATCAATTTTGGGAGTTCTTGCTGCTTAATCTCAATTCACCAATGAGATTAGTAACTAAATGAATCAGTTTAATCAATAATGGCAAATATCACATCTGTCCTGCTCCCTTATATTTATTTACTAATATGTCAATAAAATAGAAAATAACTATTTATGAATGTATATAGTTCATAAATAAAAATATTAACTCAGTTTGTCATTAATTTTTTTTTTTTTTCAATTCACTTTAATTTAATTTCAAATTCAGACTGTTCAATAAAAACTGGAGTCGGAGTCAGCGTGTTTTTTAGCGAATACAACTCCGACTCCTTTTACCCAAAAATCTACCCAACTCCGATTCCGATTCCATGACTCCGACTCCACAGCCCTGATTAATAGGCACAGAAAGATTACCAGCACTTCTATTTGAATTTTTCTCTTTATCTACTAATATATCATCATATTCATTATTAACTTTGTAAGGTGAATTTGAAAATTTAATATGGAGTCTGTTTCTTCTTAATATTTCCCCATTTGAATTTCTTACAATATAATATCTAGGAGCTTTATGTTTTGAAATTATTTCACCTTTATCCCATTGCCCAGTTCTAAAGTTTAACAAGGATATACTATCTCCAGGTTTTAACTCAGGCAGTTTCTGTGTGGGTCTATCATAATAATATTTTTGCTTAGCTTGTAGTGCACGAAATTTAGAATAAGGTTTGTTTTAATATTTAACAATTTATTACTGATAGGTAATTTTGTCTTTAATCTTCTATTAAGTAAAAGTTGTGGAGGAGACAAATTTATTCCACTAATTGGGGTATTTCGATATTCCATTAAACCTACACTTATATCTTGCACTTTTCTCATGATAATTTTGACTATTCCTACAACTTTCTCAGCAAGCCCATTGCTTTGAGGATATCTGGGACTACTAAATTTAAGTTCAAAATCCCAATCCTCAGCAAATTTTTTTAAATAAGTAGCTATTACAGGGATTATTGTCTCAAACAACTTCATTTGCAATATGGCGAAGTTGCATTTTAACTTTAATTTCATTTGCTGTCTTATCTTTTATGTTAGAAACCTCAATCCATTTAGAGTAATAATCGATAACTACTAAGTAATTTTGATTACCAAACTGCAAGATGTTGGAATTTCATGTTGCAGTAGAGGTTCTTTTTTATTTCTGTTTCTGAATTTTTCACATATTTCATATTTAGAAACACGCTGCTCAATGTCATTTGCCGTGCCTGGCCAGTAAAAAATTTCATGGGCTCTACATTTCTCAATTCCAAAATGCACTTCGTGAATTAACTACAACATATCTTTTCTCAAACCGTAAGGTACAACTAATTTTTCATTAATAAATAACAAGTTGTCATTAATATAAAGATAATTTTAAACTTTAAAGTATGTTTTTACACTACTATTTACCTTTTTGTAACATTTAGGCCAACCCTCTTTAATACATTTCGTTATATAACTATTTGCAAATCTGGATCTAATTCAGTTTCTTTCCTAAACTGCACCACTCTTTCTCTCATAGGCAAATATTTTGAAATAATGTGAACAACATTTAACATTTCAGGATGATCACTAACAATTTCATTCACAGGATATGCACGTGACAAAGTGTCAGCAAAAAGCATTTGATTTCCTGGAACATAATTTATCTCAAAATCTTACTTTAGTAATTTTAAGATCATCCTTTACATT